TTCCCTTGAAGCAGAGGGTGCTTGCTGGTTTTGTAGCTAGTTCGTACCTCTCTTCTTGGAGCAGAAAAGGAGCCATCTTTCTCTGAAATGAAAAGCTGCATTAAAGCACCTCTGCGGAGGGTGAGATGCGTCCTTCCAACCAGCATTCCACCCTGGGACGAGTAATTTCTGGGCTTAAAAATTCAGTTGCAGCATTGCTGCCTTTGAGTCGTTTGTTCACTTTTTAGATTTTAATTCTTGTCCTAGTGTGAGTGTCATGAGCGCTTTCCTTAGATTCCTGAGACTTTGGGAGTGCTTTTAATATACTGCATTGGTCTCTTTGTGTCAACTCAACTTTGTCAAGGAGAAGAACCACATTGGCAGCTAACAGGTTGTGCTTGAGCCGTTGTGTTCCTCCTGTTTCGGTAGCACAGCAAGAATCCCAAAACCTTATGGTTCAGGGAAAAGAAGAGGTTCAGCCAGAACTCGGAGCCCTCTCTCAACAAGGTTTTTGGGTTTTGTCTCTCCAAAACCCAAGCGTTCTGATGACTTTGGCTAAATTCGCAAGCGCACAAGTGCGTTTGAGGCCTTATGTTTAGTTTCGTGTTTGCATATGGGAGTCAGCTTGAAAGTTGAGATGCCAGATCTGCTTGTTACGTTCCAGTTTAGTGCCTGTATGTTCCTGAAAGTTGGTTTTGAGAGGATCGAGACTGGTGTGCAGCAATTCACAAGGGTGGAAAAGCTGGGCTTAGCACTATTTGCTAGGTATGGAATTGAAAATGACTGGGGGCGCTTGCTGTGTGTGAACGGTTCTAGCTAAAACTTCGGAATTGCCTTGTTGTTGGCTCTTCAGCAGTGCCTCTTCTCCATTTCCATGGGAACAGATGGGCTTTTGTTGATAAGAGATCTGTTATCAAACTAGGAAACTGCCGGGCAGCAGTTGAGCCACTATTACTGTAAAACAGGGCTGACTACAGACGGGGGACATCACATGGCGGTATGTGTTCAAATGTAGTGGCTAAAAATATCCTTCCTTCTTCCTCCGCTCAGGCACAGATGCCCCAGTGTGAAAGGAAAAGTCTCTCTGGCATAGACTTGATTCGATCTATAGCAGACACGGGGATGGGCTGCAAAGGAATGCTTTCTGTTTTGACCTATACAAAAAGCAGCAGTTTTTAACAGTTGTTGAGATAAATAAGTGCTTGTGCCTTTTAGATTTTTTTGCAGACTGAAGGCTGTCTCAGTTTGGAGCAGTGAATCTTTAAGTTTCGTGTTGTTGCTTAATTTATCTGTATTTATTTGTACTTGGGGAAATTTTCAAAGCAAAATTTGCATGCAGTACTTAGACTAAATTTTATAGCTTGGGTAATTCTGGGAAAATCTTACCATAGTTCAGTTAAGAATCTTTGTTTTTCTTAGAGGTGTAGCACTGTTTTTTAAGTATCCAGGTGATAAATTTTAATCTTAATTATTGTCTAGAAATCACTTGGAGGCCAGTGGAGGTATGGGATAGGTGGACTTACTGGATGCTTTTCTTAAAATGTTTTGCAGCAAAATGGTTTAATTGCTTAAAGTCAGTTCTTTCATTTCAGTGGGTTTACGATTTAAAAGAAAAGAGAGCAATGTCAGATATAAACGTCTAAGGCGGATGCACCAGTGCAGAGAGTTCCTACGTGTGTTCCCGACTTACTTTTTAGTTGTATTTCACTAATGGATGTTAGTGGCATAAGTTCTTTTGAAAGCTGAAGTTTTACGTGACTATTCTGCAGTTGTAATAATAGCTACATAACTTCATAGCAGCCACCGGAATTCCAGCCTTCTCCACGTGGCTGCAAAGTTGTCCTGCATTTAAGGTGCTTCAGTACAAGGCATTTTTGCTTGACTAAGCATTGGGAGCAGCTCCGGCGGTGTCTATTTGAGACACTGCGAGAAAAAAATGACTTTGTAGATATCTGTGTTGTGGAGGTGACTCCTTTTGAAATGATCCGTGAACATGGAGCTTTGTAAAGAAAACGGTACGGTCTGTTGCCTCTGGGGGAGTGCACGCTGAAAGACCCGGAAAGGGGAAAAGGGGGATGCTTACAGGGTGACTGTGTGTGTATGAGCTCTCTGGTATATGATGTAGGGCATGGAGAGGTTGGCTGTCTGCCAGGGTGTGGAGGGAGCTGTGACAGCTAGTTCAAATGATCCTAGAAAGGACAACCGGCTCTGAAGGTACGTCAGGCTGGCTGTGAAGCAGGAAAAAGTCCTCGGAGCAAACAAAGCCACCGAAGGGGGGGAGCTGTGGAGGATCCCTTGTTACAGCAGAAGTCCTCTGAACAGGTTGTACGTGCATATGTGTAGGCAGTTCACTTTACTGTGCCTTTTATCCAGCTATTTTTTTTTCCAGTCACAAAACTTAATGCATGCCTCGGCAATGCTCCCTCACTGGCGGTTGGCTTCAGGCCAAGCATTAATGAGAACCCCAAGCCCGATGTGATTTGGCTCCTCCAAATCTATTAGCATATCTGCAGAGCAAGATAGAACTCATTAAAATAATTTACGTTTGGGCATTAGAATTTCTGATAATTTTTGATACCTACTGCCAAAAGCACAAATATGTGGTAATGTCCTTCATATGAAGCTACAATTTACCCATTTTTTTTTAATTCTTGGAAAAATAACAGACTGCCGTATCCCTTAACTTCTCTCTGATGGTAATGAAATGAGTTCGTAATACACAGTCTTATCAAAGGTTCGATCTGTGCTGTCCCAGATAAAGGAATGCATGCTATTGCATAAGATTTGGCTTATTAGAAATCCCATCAACATCTGTGATGTTTGTGTTCTCTTGTGCTGTAAATGACTCCAGTGATGGCGGCTGAGGTACGTAACAACGAAACTTCCTGGTCATTCAAGCTACGTGCCAAAATCTTTGCATGACTGAGTTGTAGATCTGGGCTTCAACCTCTGCCCTCTGTCCTCCCAGTCTCTATGCAATTCACCTTTTTACGTACCTGTTTCTAATCTCCATCTTCCCAGCTCACTATCCCAGAGCTGCCTGCTGGTGTCATCTACCTGTATTTCATATTCTGGAGTTGAATCAGTTCCTGCAGTACTTAGGGTCTTTAGTATTAAAGTCTCTTCAACTGAAAATATCCTGAAATGGGCTGTAAAGGTGCATATCTTTGCTCACCTGAAGGTTGGTAGATGTGGCCCTGCTACTGGGCTGGTTCCCCAGTGGAAGGGCCGGCACCTGGGGGATGTACGTCCGACCATCAGCCTCTTCGCTGGGGAGCTCAGGAACGGGCTGGTGACTGTTGCCCACTGCCGCTCACTGAGGAGACTCAGGGTCTGTTCTCCTTGTGCTTTACCGGATTTCATTTCAGTAGGTCTTGAGGTTTTTCTCTTCCATATGTAGCAGTCAGCAATGAGGTAGATTAGGGTGTTGATGTGTCATGTATTTTTGAAAGGCAGCAAACACTGATCTTTAGAGTTTAATTTTCTGAAGCACTCCCATCAGCTGTAAGAATTTTAAGGCCTGCACTCGCAAATTCTTGTCTGCTTTTCCTTTTTTTCTATTTCCTCTCATCACCCTTCCAAAAAAGAAACATAGTGAGATAGCAAAAAAAAAAAAAAAGTCAGAAACAGCAATAATTGCTTATGAAGATTTTGGTTTTTTGGTGGATATCTTCACCATGACTGCATGCGTATGTCGTGTGTGATCTCTGGATCTGTGTTCGTGTTGTCTTTCTCTTTGCATTTCCTCATCTTCCCGCATTCAGGCAACGCTAATCATGTGATACTTTTGCAACTTGAGGCTTTAAGTATATTTTTCTTTCTTTTTCTTTTTTCTTTTTTTTTTTCTTTAACTCAGACCCAGCTTTTTGTTGGCCATTGTCACAGAGTTAAAGAACCTCAGAAAGCTGAGAAGGACTGAAAGCACTCAGGGAAAAGCCTTGTTGTGGTGCTTAATTTTAAAGGGGGGGCAGGTTCTGTGTGCTGTTTACTTCCAACACCAAATAAAATCTTGAGGAGAGGTAGTTTCAAACTATAGCATAGCTTCATTTACAGAACATAAATTACTTTATTCAAGAGACTACTTCCAGTCAGCCTACTAGGCTTGCCTATTGCGCTGTACCAGTTGCCAGAAATTCAATGAAAAATAAAGCACTGAAGTATGCTTTGAAGTATCAGTCTGTGCTTTTTAAAGCTACCCGTGCACGTGGCTCCTCTCTTGTGACTCCTGATCTTTCATTCATTTTAGAATAAAGTTATAGTAAGAAGAGTATCCCTTTAAAAAAAACAAACAAATAAACTTTGTTTATCTACATTTGCTGTTTGTATGTGTTGAACTTGCTTTATTAACATAGAAAATGCTCAACAGGCAAGTCACTGTTTCTGCCATCCGATTTAACCTGGTTTTAACTTGTATCAGCAAAAGCAGCTGAAGCTGCCAGTTGTATCTGCAGCTGGGCCTGTGCTAATGTTGTCATGAGGGAGTTTTTTGGTAAAATTCTCTATAATATAGATGTTGCCTAGAATCTTTTAACATATCTAGCGTGCAACCAGTGCAAATGCAGAAAAGCTGGATGAAATCACGTTTATACTGAAAGCATCAGGTTTGTCGGCGGAGTTCAGGAAAAAGGTGATCGTTAGAAGTGATAAAGAATCAGAATTTCTTGGCTTGCAGATTTTGGACAGAATTTTTTGGTGATGACGGCCAGCTTAATCTTTGGCACAGATCTCAGTCTAGTTATGTTGCTAAAAGTACCTGTGGACTTACAGTCGCTTTCTTACTAAATTATGGGGGGTTGGCAGTAAAATCCTTTGGCTCTTTTGAATTATTGGTCCACCTTTTGTTCACCACAATTCTGAACGCTCATGAGATGCAGTGGAGCAGGATGACTGGCACCATTTTTTATAGGTTCACCTTACAAGAGCAGTCTTTGAAACAAGAACGAGGAGAATAAGCTAGTACCTTCATCAGTTTTGCTGTATCTTGAAATGCGGTAAGCTTATTTTTTGTTTGGTTCCTTCAGGTTTTGAATGAAGAATGCGATCAGAACTGGTACAAGGCAGAACTCAATGGAAAAGACGGCTTCATTCCCAAGAACTACATAGAAATGAAACCACATCCGTAAGTAGAGCTTTGGCAATAGGCTCCCTCGATCTTACTTTCGTGCATCCTCTCAAACAGAAGGAACGTTTTCTGCTGAATACTTTGCAAAGCGTACCTTACCAGATCTACCAAAATGTATGGATAGATAAAGGACGGCTACTGGGTTGTATCTCTGGCTGTAGTGTTTACTGTAACCCATTTCACAGCTAGCTATACAGCAGGGTATTTTTGGAAGCTTTTCTGGTGGTTGCTCTGGTGTTTTGCTGTAGGGTCAGACAGACTGACCTTGGAGGTAGCAGGCATAAACCAGCAGAAAACTCGTTAGAGGGTTGTCACCACCACTGCCCCAGGAAGAAAAGTGACTGTGTTCCTGTGATGATTCTCTATTTCACTTAGCGTAGCAGATAAAAGTAAAAATTGTGGCATTCAGAGCTCACCAGAAAAATATTTAAGGGTATTTGGAGCTGTACTCTTAGTATGTCTATGTCGCATCCCGAGTATAGAATCACAGAATAATTTAGGTCAGACAGAACCTCTAAGGTTCATCTGTCCAACACCTTCCTCACAAAACAGGCCAGCCTCAAAGAGTGCGCGCTGTTACGCAAGTATAGTTGCATTGACTTGCAGCTCCAGAGAACTGTATTTGAGTAACTACTTTGGACGTTTCCTCTTAGATAGAAAGAATCTGGCATATGAAAATAGCAGCATTTCATGACTGGGTATTTTCTTTGTGTCATTTCATGTGTTTCTGCTGTCTTCTTCTAAACTCTGGTTCTGCCAACCTTTGAGATCCTTCAACACCTGAACAAGGAAACGACAAGCTCTGGGTAACAGATTCAAAGGCAAGAAAAGGTTTAGGAAGGAGCAGCAAAACCTGTCATCAGGGTTTTTACAAGGAACTGTAGTGGTTCACTTGCCCACAAAAACCGATGATTGATTTGTTAATTGTTGGCTGTAGTTATATCATGAAGATATTGCAGTTAAATCCAATGAAGAATTATTTTTCTAAGGGCTCTTTTGAAATAGCAGAAGGAAGCTTTTGAGGGACTGTGTCCCAAGGAGAGGAGGTATACTGCTTTAGTGCAGCCAAGTGGGAAGCGAAGCAAGGATGCACAGGAGAACTCTGAAATTGTTTAAAGCCTTGTGTGCTGCAGTAACGCATCTAGTTTACCCTGATCGTGCAAGTCTACTGGGGATCACAAATGTACACTGCAATTTCTCTCTCTCATTGATTTGAATCCTCATACGTCTTCTCATAACAGTTTTGCAGGCATTTGAGTTACACTGCGGTGGTGTCTCCTGTGATGATGATATCAGTTTGTTCTGTAATCATCCATGGTATTTTGTTTGAGAGGGATGGAACTGCCAGTTTTTCATTCCCCTTTGAGATCAAAAAGTGAACAATATCTGAACTTGCAAGTGGATGAATTTGGTATTGTTTTTTAAGTGTAGTTAATTTGACCTTTTCTGAAGATGTTTAAACTGCTGATGGCAGCTGGATGGAGTTAGCTCCATGTGTCAGCAATGCTGGGAGTCTTAACTAGTGCATTAACAACCCTGGGAAATTATGCAAAAGTTTTTATAGTCTAATGTTAGCTTAGCTGTAATGCAGAGTGCTCTAAGTAGTCCAGCAGGTCATACAAAAAGCAAATTGCAGGCAGCTGACCAGGTATGAGAAAGAGAATGTTCCTGTTCTCAGACTAGTGTCAAACTGTGTTGCGGGAAGGTGGCACGAGAGCTTTTCAAGAGGATTTTGGAAAGAAAGCAACTGAAAATGGCTTTAAATGCTGTCTTGGGATCTGAGACTCAAATCCTGCAGCCCCGTAGCTAGTCTTAAATGCAGTGGTTTTTCTTGCTTGTATTTTGCAAATCTTCCTGTTTGCTTTGTAACTACTAGCAAGTGAAGCCGAAAGGAAAATGTGGCGCCTCTCGGTCACCAGCTGAGTCACCTGGGTTCTGAAGGGTTGATCTGAATTGCCACATCAATTAACGAAGCAAAGATGTAAGTGGAGGTAGGCGTGATACTCGGAGAAGAGCTGCAGGAAACCCTGGGCCGGGAGGCTTCCCGCGGAGGCAGAGCAGTGCGGTTTTGAGGCAGGACTCCCTTTCTCTCCTTACGGAGGCAGGGGGAGAATTTGCCGTTTACGAAACGGCCTGGATCACGCTCGTGGTGTATCTCAAGTGTTTGTGTTCGTAATCAGCTTTTCTTGAAGATACAGCTGAAGTCTCACTTTGCAGTATTGTAACTTATGTGGAGGAAATCGGCCAAGCTGAATGGTTGTGCGAAGTAAAGCCAAACGAATGGCCAAACTGCCGATTGCAAGGAACCTGAACGCGATGTGAACTCTGTGTTGTACCAAAGAGCGCGTTTCCCTCTAGCTGTGCAGCATCAGCAGTAACGCCTGGATCTGGTTTTGCAGTGCTGACTGGATGAGTTTCACCTGCCTTACAAAGCTAGCTGGAGACAAGCGTTATCGGCAGGGAAGCTGCGGGAGAGTCGTGGTCAGTTCTTTGGCCGAATTCTCTTGGACATGCTGTGATTTTTGTGAATTTCTTCAGTCATTCTGTAGCAAAGATTCATATGCGCACAACACTTCTGATGCTTTACAAGTCTGTTCTTAAGTAGACGCTAGTCCTTCAAAATAACTTTGTTTCTTTCATCTATGGGGTTTTCGTCTTTTTTTATATTTAGAATGCAAGCTCCTTTTACTCTGAATGGTTAAAGGGGTGGTGAAGTCATAAAACTGCAAGGGAGTCAAGAACTGTGAAAGATTTTTTTTTAGGCTATTTAAAGTAAAGTGCCTTAGAAACAGCCGGCAGAAAACTTCAAGAGTTTGATATTGTTACTTTGAAAGTATTACTTCCCTTAATCGAAGTGTACGCTTCTACTTGGTAGTGATTCAGTAAAATTCAGGGGAAAAATAGGGTATCCTGCTGAGGCTTCAGGAAGGGTTATAGAAGTTCTGTTGGGCTCTTTCAGGCTTTCCTTCTATTTTACAGAGATGGGTGAGGTGTTTTGTGGGGTTTTGCTTTGTTTTGTTTTTTTAAGATGAGGCTTTCATTTCCAAGTCACATACGAGTAATTGAGAATAATTGGAGAACGAAACAGAATTAAAACACTTCGTAAACAAGAACTATGGCAAGATATCTAAAATCATAATATAAAGCTTGCTTTATGTAACATTTGGCAGATGCAAAATTCAAGACTTCCGTATCTTTCTGACAATTGTGCCAAAAAGCCCAGGAAACAAAATACTACCTTTGAATTCTGAAACCGTTTCACATAATGGTTTCTCTTGGTTGATTTTTGAAGGCAGCAGAGCGCAGTGAGAGACGGGTAGGCGCTCCCTCTGCCGTCTCTGCCACCACCTCAGGTGCCCAGAAGCAGCGCAGCTGCTAAACCACCGGGAAAGTACTAAATGTCACGAAGTTCTGTATCACTGGAAATAGGATGGTTGTGGGAGAAAGCTTTCCCTTTCCATTCCAGGGGATAGAAAGTACACACCAAGACTTGCAAGCAAGTGAAACGTGTCTAGGTGATCATGGAAACAGAGTTTGCAAACAAGCTGTGTCATTTTCAGTGCCAAAATGCTTTTCATAATGAAGCTGCAGAGTTAAATGGAGTGAACGCGCCTTTTACAAGGGGGATGTCCTGGAGTTGTTTTATTGACTGTGTTGCATATAGTAGAAACACATCTGTGGACTTACCATCCTTGATATAATATAGGGATGTGGTTTTGTGTAGCCTCCTATGGTGAGCGGATACTGAAGACAGCCAGTGAGAGGAGCGAGGGCTTCCAGTAGCTGGAGCGTCTGGTAGTCAAGTAGTCAGGTCCTCCTTCGCCTCTAGAGATAGCTGCTGCTTAGAGAGGGAGATCTGGTGACTTTGTGATTTCATGAGAGCTTCAGCTTCTCTCAAGAGCGACTCTGTTTCATGGAGGGTTCTGCAACTTCTGTCTTTTTGCTGCACCAAAACCTTCCCTGTAAAAGCAAACTTTGCGAGTGGAGCTCTTGTTATTAAATGCTCTCCTCTAAGGTCAATCATCTGCATGGTTATAGGCTGTGGTAAGTGCTTCTATCCTGTGTGATCGGAACTGAAAGCTGTACTTTTTGGTTGTGCAGATGGTTCTGCTTTTCCCACGCCATGTGACCTACCACTTTGTCTTTAATCTTGGATTAATCTGGAAATGCAAATGTAAATGTGGGTAAGAATCTCATGACAAGGGGCTGTTGGTCAGTGCTGATGATCTGGTTGCCTGAGGTAGGTTCACCCTTGGTGTCATGGAGGTGGTCAGCCTGTGGCTTTGACTTCTGCGTGGCTCTCGAGAACTTCAGATGTGGCTTGATGGTGCAGCTGTTTCATGTGACTGCTTATGTGAAAGCTGCTAGTTTGTCCTCACTGTAGGAGAAAGCAAGAAAGTAGGCTAATGAAACAAGTCTTATCAGCACCTTTCCTAGAACCAGATAGCGTGCCCAGATCAGCACTCCTCTGCGATGAAGCAGAGAGACCTTGAGGGGACTTTTCTCGCTTGGTCTGCATGTAACTGCTCCTGGCACCTGCCTCAGCTTTCTGGCACACGATACCCGTCTTTGACCACAGCACTCTGGTAGGGGTCGGAAAGATGGGACCCTGGGCTGCAGGAACAACCAGCTGCTGAATGAAGCTACTCATTTTCTCTGCTGAGGTAGTTGTGTCTTACCACCTGATCGAAAAGACACTAGAAATTGGGTTTGATACGAAATGCACTTTCCAGTTGTGCAGGATGGGTCAGTCCATAGACAGGATCTTCTTTCTACAGCTGTGATGTTTCTGAAGAGAAACCTGTGAGTGAACTCCCAGTGTTTCCCTTGCATTTTGCAAATACTATGTTTTTTGTTTTTTTGTTTTTTTGTTTTTTTTTAAAAGGTTCTTACCTGCTAAAATAGTGATGTTTCTTAACATGTGCTTAATCCTTAATAACTTCAGTTTTCTATCTTGTCTGCTCTACAAGTCATGACTGAGGCATGGGTAGCTTCTCCTCAGGAGGCAAAAGTAATAAAGGACGCTGTGTAATTACTCTCCACTGATTATCTTTGGGTACTAATAGTGAAATAAATGCTGCTATATCATAAGGAAGTTCCATTGTGACCGGCCACCAGTGCAGGACCTCTTCGTTGTCTCTGAGCTGATGGCATCATAAAATTTGGACAATAAAATCTTTGCATGTAGAGACATGGGACTTTATTCCTTAGTGATAGAGGAAGGGACTTGAGTTTCTTGCTTGAGCTATGCATTTAATCTGTTTGACTTTAGATTATGAGCTCTGATTACTAAAATATCAGTGCAGACCGCACTGGACATCTTAACTTTGTCCACGGTTGTAGCCAGTTCCCGGGGTAGTCAGCCGAGTCTCACAAAGCAGGATTTTGCTGTGAAGCAATTGTGTACGTTAGGTTCTCGTGCTATTTTATATGCTAAACTGCAGATACAATAGGGCGCAGAACAATGTGAATAATGCATTAAATTTTGAGCAGGTTTTTTTCCACCTCTGAAAATAAATCCTGTAATTTGAGGATTTCGCTCTTACCACATCTCTGCTTTGCTAAATTGGGTGAAACGGGGCTATTGCAGGCACCTGCTTATCAAGTCATGGTTGCTTCATTGCCAGGACGAAACATTGTGAAAGCTGTGTGGTTCAGTAGCCTGCGTTGGAGCGGCAGTGAGGTGCAGCGTAGTTATTTCTGTTGGGAATCATTTCATCTCTGTGTGAATATCTACATCTGGCTCTTCCGTGAAAGGAGTAAAATTCTTAACTTGCCCTATTGTTTTCTTTTCCCCCCTCCACAGGTGGTTTTTTGGAAAGATTCCCCGAGCGAAGGCTGAAGAAATGTTAGGTAAACAGAGACACGATGGTGCCTTCCTCATCAGGGAGAGTGAGAGTGCTCCTGGGGACTTCTCTCTCTCAGTCAAGTAAGTAATGCCCAGAAGCGATCAGTGTGGTAATCGGGCCATCTGCTGCTCATTTGGACTCGTGGGTAAAGGACAGGTGATTCTCAGTGCTGAGGAGCAGGAATAATCTTCCAGGTGCCCTATAGCATTCCTGTTCTTCCAGTGATACTTATTTATTCCCTCTTTAATAGAACAAATATATATATGCTCTGGTTTGTAATGAGCCTACAGGGCTGACCTGGTGGCACATTGCCATCTGGCTTGTGTAGTCTCAGGCATTATCTGTTGGTTTGCTTGTGGATCCCATTCCTTCTCCTTACCGCCACAAAGTGCCCAGTGTGTATATGTTCTCTCCCATCCTCCTTCATTCCTCTTCTGCAGTACAAGTTATTACTCTCTTTTTTTCTCTTTGTGTAGTCCACTTGCAAATATACGTTTCATGTCTGCTTGGCACGTGCTTTGGGGATGTTCACGTTGCCTCGCACTGGGACATGGAGCTGTGAAAACAGAAGCCTCCTCCATCTCTCACAACTGCATTCCACGTTGGTAGAGAAACTCGGTCTAATAACAGTGAAGTGAGGAGGAGCAGTTCTCATCCTTGAATAACCTCGCTAGAAGTCCTGGCTGTTAACCAGCAGGAGTTTTTGCTAGTTACCCATGGCCCACAGATCCCATGCTACCTGTCTTCCCCATCTGAAGTCACTATAAAATAGAGTTATTAGAAACTTGAAAGAGTATGTGATGTAATTTAACATGAGTCAGGGGTGGGAGGGATTCTGTCCTCAGCAGTTGATTTTGCCTTTATTTTCTGTGATCTTCCCCTTTCCTACCAGAAATGAACAAGATTTGCTTTAGAATCCTAACAATAATTTGTGATTATTCATGCACGATTCCTAGTTCGCTCTATTTTCTGTGGCTATCAGTGATCTGTCTCCGCAGGATTGTTTTTTTCTGATCATCTTTGCTCTATAACCAAATTTTTGTCCTCCTGTACAGCAGCACTGAGTCACGCCAACAAACTGGATTAAAGCCACTGACTTTAAGAGATGTTTATATTTGTCTTGCGTACAATCATCTGAGCTGAATACTAGATATGAATGGAAGCTTCATGCCAGAAAGTGCATTCCTTTAAGAAAGATGAAGTTACGATAGCATAGCTCTTCCTGCCTGTTAGCTTAGTGTTGCCATCTGGTGGTAATTTCTCAGTTGATTTTTTTTCCTGTTTGTTTAATTTAGAAAAGTCTTTTTCCTAAACAGTGATCCACGGGATTTGAAATGGTGAGAAGCTCTCAGGTTGAAGAAGGGAGAGCAGAGGCAGTACGCATGAGTTGTTTCATGTTAGCTTTGTAGCCAAGGCAGTGTCTACTTTTTCAGCCGATGTACAGAAGCTGTGCGTGCCAAGTGGGGAACAGTTGTCTCCTGTTTTCGATGGTTTAGACTGAAGGAAAAATACTGATGTGCCATTTGTCTGGAAAATCCCAATGGACCTCTTTGGAGTTCCCCTTTATTCAGAATAAAGTTGTTGGAAAAGTAGCTTCAACTGAATGCCATCATTTATCAGATAGAATTGTTAACACAGAATTTAGGTTGCGGCGTTACATGTGCAGCATCGCCTTTCGAGCATTTTGTGTTCTTCTTTTTTTTTTTTTTTTTTTTTTTTTTCTTCCGAAGGACCAGAGAGATCCCTTTGTTTTGCAAGACAGTCTTTTGCGTAAGTCCAGACTGGCTGCCAAAAGAGAGAATCCTACCCTCCCCATGGCAGTGTTTTCCCAGCAATTTACCTGTAATGGGACTGGTGCTTAGGTATTGCGATATCTCGCTCACCCAGTGGTGCTGCGTGAGGGAGGGACTGAGGCGGTGGGAGGTGCACGACCGTAGCAAGAGTAGCACAACCTAAACGGGCTCGAGTCAGTTGTGAAATGGCTGTGTGTGAAGAGCTAAAGCGAAAGTGCTTGTACTGTTTGACTCCGAAGTCTTGCATTGGGAGCGTGGAGCGGAAGGCACCATGGTGCGGCTACTTCAGTGTGACCTTGCGCTTGTACTGCAAAGCCCCTGGTATGCACCCAGGGTATCGTGTGCGCTGTCTTCGGTGGCACAGGTGACTGCATACATACATAAAAAGTACATGTGCTGGATGCCAGCTGTGTGGCAATGTTGTGTAAAATAAAAAGTTGAAATATTACATGTAATCCAGGAGAAAGGGTGTTGTGACACCAGAAATCCTTGACCAAAAGACCTCAAACTTCTGCAAATTCAGAGTGGTTTGAAAAGCTGGTTTTAAACTGAAGTCCTATTGTAAAATATAAAATATAAAAGCACGTATGAAACTTGCAGGACTTCTTTCAAAACAAATTCAGTTATTTGGATTCTCTCTCTCTGATTACTGATTTCTGTAAAATATAATTAACAAGTGGTTTTCAAATATCTTTTTTACAGCAACCAATTGGTAACTATATTATCAGCATCATTTACAGTTTTCACTGTGCCCTGAAGGACCTTTTTGCTCCAAACCCTGTGCTGACGATCCCAGAAGAAGAGTATTCAGTGACTAATAATCCGCTTTTTTTGTGTTCTTCGCTCCTTCCTCCCAGGTTTGGAAATGATGTGCAGCACTTCAAGGTGCTTAGAGATGGGGCTGGCAAGTATTTCCTCTGGGTGGTGAAGTTCAATTCTTTGAACGAGCTGGTAGATTATCACAGATCCACATCTGTCTCCAGGAACCAGCAAATATTTCTCCGGGACATTGAACAGGTGCCCCAGGTAAGAGAAGTGGCCTCGCGCTTTTCAGGCTATTGAAACCACAGTCTGAAGTGCGATTGCACCTTTAGAGTAAATGAGTAGGGATGGGGAGAAGCTGACTGACATTTTTCTCGTCTGTGGAAGCATATCTTTAGATCCCACAGCCAGAATTATACAGGGAAATAAAATGGGTGTTTGTGCAAAGCCTACCTGCTAACTCTTAGTCTCCCCTTCAGTTCTGGCAAAGCGTTACTGTTGCTGCTTGAACACTTGGCTTGGCTTAATGTTTATGGATACGGTTGCAGGAAGGTCATCTGATTCCTGTGATTTAAAAATGGATTTACTCCTGGTTTTAGGACATAGTAAGAAAGGACAGTTCTGCTTGTACTGGTTCGTAGCCAGAGCTGTACCCCTCCGTAGCCAGTGAAGCCTTGGTGCTGGTCTTTCCTGAAGAGGTGGTTACCGGTAGTAAGTAGCATATGGAACATCTGCCTGCTGGTTTGGATCTCGCCAGTGTTAAGAGAAACCAAAATCTAATGCTAAGTGCCAGCAGAGCAGCTTGAGTATATCTAGCTCTTTGTTTTGTTCCATTTCCCAGGGCAATCAAACTGCTGTGCTGGATGTAACTGGATCTTTTGTCGATTTTGGGTAAATCCTTTTGCCTCCACGTGCAGCACTCGAGTTCTAGCTTGAAGGCAAGGGCTGTGGGACTTGTCCTGCTCTCCGGGTGCCACGGGCACCCTTCGCCACAGCGTGTCTGAATTAACATCTGGCTCTGCACTGTCGGGTTGGTGATAAACAGAGGATGAGAAAACAGCTGGCTGAAAATGACAGGCACGAAGATACCTTCCTAGACTCGTGATTTCAAGAATGCAAATGCATTTTAAATTCGCTGTTAGCTTTTCCATAAGAACGGAAGCATTTGCTGACCGGACAGAATGCTCTGCGACAGAATTTCTTGATACTGGAGAGTTTTAAGGAAAACGTGTAAAATGCCAACATCTAGTTTTTAGGGGGAAGGTTGTGTATCACAGGGTTATGTAGATTAGTAATATTCATGCTGTCAGTTGGTGAAAATAGGACGAATAAGCAAAAAGACCATTGTATTGCGGTAGATTTACAGTAGGTCGTGAAGACTGGAAAATGCTAGGAAACCGTCTGAGTCATCTGCTATCTTTGTTTTGGCTCTTTCACAGAAACTTGACTTTTTTCTGAAGTCTTCTATAGACTCTGCTTTCCTCATTCAAGCATCTTGTTACAGGTGTTGGAAGCTGGCTTGCAGGGAAATGAAAGAGCCGGAATGTTTGTTGTTAAACTCTGGTGTAAGTGAAGCTCCTGCCTGAGGGAGCTGGTGTCTCCAGTGCCGTGGATGATTCTCACTTTGTGTTATCTTTTTTCTTTCCCCTTTCAGCAACCAACGTATGTTCAGGCCCTGTTTGATTTTGATCCCCAGGAGGAAGGAGAGCTGGGCTTCCGCCGCGGAGACTTTATCCAAGTCCTTGACAATTCTGACCCCAACTGGTGGAAGGGAGCCTGCCACGGACAGACGGGCATGTTTCCACGCAACTATGTGACCCCAGTGAACCGGAACATCTAGAGATAAATATTAGAGATTATTTAAAGAAACCAGAGAAACAGTAAATACACATACAGAGCCTAACTGCAGCCAGTGACCTAAAATCACACGGCGATAAAACCTGAGTCACCTTTCACCGTGAGGTGATCCTCCACTCAGTACGGAACTTCAGGGGTGGCGGGGGGGAAAAAATTCAACTTACACCCCAAAACTTATCTTTAAAAAGAAAAAAAAAAAAAAAGAAAGAAAAAAATGAAAATAACAAATTTCCTCAGCTGCTCCTGGGTTACCCCCTTTCATTCACTCTTCTTGTTTCCCCCTCCTCTGTCCATCAGTGCATGAAGTTTTAATGCCATATAAAGTCCTAGCCATGCGCAGTTAAAGGAAAAGGGAGAAACTCTGCTGGTATTTTCTCTCTCTGCAAACGGTCTTCATTTGACGTGAAGGGACACGAGAGAAGAACCAAATCCACAGTCCTGCCTTTAAAAAAAAAACAAAAATCATCAGTCTCTGCTTTTGCCTTCAACATTCAGCTCTTCTTGCCTGGGAAAGATGAGGTGTTAATCTAATTTTTATTGTCTCTTCTCCTTTGGCACTTTCTTCTGAAGCTCAGCAGCTTCCAAGCAGGGGAAGGGAGAAGAGTTGTGTGGCTCTTTGTTTCTATTTTTTTTTTTTTTTTCTTTTGAGTCACGGAGCTGCTTTGAGAAACTCCAACGTACAACTGAAGTCTGTTAATGCTGTGCTGACAGCTTTTTTGTTTTTTCTTAAAGGTGTACGGTTGAGCACATTCTGTAATTTTTTCCATAGTGCCTTTCCCTTATTTTCTTTTTTATTATTTTTTTAAGTTAAAAGGACAGTCCACAGCTTTTCAGAGGGGTTTTTTCTGCCTATGTGTAAATAAATACTTTTGGGGAAGGGTGTAAAGGAGGGTGGTTTTATCAATGGACGTTTGAGAAAAATCTACAAACAGAGGTGGAGCTTTAATCTTAAGATTTGTCTTACTGTTCAACTTTCCTTATTCCGAGGAACATAAAATCAAGGCATTCAAGTGGCAGCTTAGGCTGCTCAGAGGTGGGGAGCTGCAACCAGGAGCCTCGAAAGAAGTAAGAGAAAGGGGCAAGTTACGACCAGGGAAAATGAGGAAGACTATTTTGGGGAGGGAGGGTTAAGGGGCGAATTTGAGAACTAGTAGCCCGGAGATGTCCTATAAAATGTACATTCCTTTGATGGAAAACTTTATGATGCAGAGAAACCTCAAGAAATAGTGCTTGAAAAAACTTTATGCTATTAGTGAATGTTTCTACGTGATGCATGTAATCAGCCTGTCTCTTTGGCCTGGATAGGGAATATTTGCAGTCGTGTCGCTCTTGAGAAGCGGGGTCGGCATCCCTGTTCTCCAGTTTCTCTTCCCTCCTCAGGTCAGTGTTACTGTTGAAGTAGATCCCCCCCACCCCGCTCCCCGTTCGCAGCAGGCTGTGTGATGACTGTAATCCCCACCCCGCACCATAATGGCATTCGTTGTGGCCATTTGCTCCTCCACCAGAGCAGCGTGACGTTAAATTGGACGGAAAGGAAAGCAATCAAGCCGCACCGCGCTCTGTGCCAATCTTCAGTTGGGTTATTTTTCCTTTTGATGGCCGTTTTGGCTGGATCCCTTCACCCCACCAACGAATCCAAAAACGGCAGTGGAGATCTCCTCCCGCCCTGCCTGAGCACGGGCAATCTTTTGTTGGAGGGTGCCTTTTTTTGTACTAAGTGTTACAAATGTTTTATTCCTGAGACGGACTCTGCCTTACACTTTAATTTTCCAGCAGATGAAAGAGAGAGCTATCCTGTAGAGTATTACTTTCTCCCCCTCTCCTTGCTAGCTGTCACTCACTTTCTTCCTTCTTTGTAAAGTGATTGGAAAAGGAATCTATGGCATTCTACACCTGGACCATTTGATTGTTTCCTTATTTTGGAATTGGTGTATATCATACAGCCTTGCAGACATATGTCTTGTGTGTGTATATATATTAAAAAAAAAAAAAATCAGTGTTTAAATAAAAAAGGCCTATGTACTTAATCCTTTAACTCTGCAGCAGCATTTGGTAGGTAGTAATTAACTGTGAATAATAAATATACATTGAATTCTTCACTTGAGCATCTGTCTGTTATTTCGGTTAACTGACCAAAATACAACTGATCGATCTAATTTATAGGATATTAAATTGCTGTGGGAGGGAAAAGCTGTAAGGTGTGCTCTGGCCCGGAGCCCTCGGGCTCTTTAGCATCGTAGTTCGATCTCAGCACGCCCCGCCAAATTCGTTACTCTTTCAGGCGAAGTCACCGGAGAGCCCTGGCGCTTGGCAGGGGTGGCATTATGGATAGCGAGGAGCGGGGAAAGGAGCGATCGCATCGCTTCCAGGACTGAAGACCACGTATCCGTCAGCAGAACGGGAGGGTGGCACTTTAATATTTCTTCCCGTGCCTTTTTTTTTTTTCTTAAGCTTTTTCCCAAACTGCTCGCGTTCCTCTGGACAGTAATGGCGCAAGGAGCCAGCCATGGAGAACGGTACACCAGTTATTGCTGGAGCGTCTTGCTGAAGGACAGCGGGCGGATGGACGTACGGCTGTGCAAGCACAACGGCCACGCCTCGGACGCGGCAGGAGCTTTTGCTCTGCTCGATCAGATCCTTGCGGATCGTTGCCACTTTCTCCTCGTTGCCTGAAGAAAGAGAACTGCGCGGTTGTGCTACGGCGCGCGGGCGGCTCTGCAGGTTACCTGTCCGGAGCTGCCGCTCTCGGCTCTGCAGCTTCTCCCCAGCCTTCGCTTATGTTCTGTGAATTTTGCAGTAGATTTTAATACACGATAGGAAAAGGCCCGCTGTCGTGGGGGTTTGGGTGGTTTTTTAACAGTTGCGCTTGTAGTTAACATGCTCAGATGCAGGGGTAGCCAAGGAGTTTGTGGTTGCTCAGAAATGCCTGGTTAATGCCATGATTAGTTCTTTATTTTTAAAGAAAGTTCTTTATTTTTAAGGATTTCTTTTATTTGTAAAGTCAATAGAGAAATGCTTTGCAGCGTGGTTCGGAGCTCTTGGCCTTTTTGTAATGCTATAACAGGTCGTGTTGCTCAGAATTGTGTGCTGTCGTACCTTGGGTTTCTACTGAAAGGTTTAGAAAATGTTCCTTTCCTTGTGCTTTATAGAAGGAGGAAAAATGGTTGTTGCTGCTGTGCTGGTGTAATGTCGAGGCTAAGGCCATGGCAAAGAACAAGCCCTTTTTTATGGGTATTTTCCGTTCCCGCTCGCCAGCTTTGGCACGTGGGTCAGCAAAACTGGGGCTGAACTGCAAAAAAATCCCCTAAATCCCAGCTTATTTTGCTGCCAGCTGCCTGATCCAGCAACGCCGCCGCCGGGGTGCGCGGTCCTCGGTGCAGGCGTTGCTTTTGGAAGCGCAAAACCTCAGGGCCGAGCCCCCTCCATTTCGGAAACCGCGCGCCCCGGGGCGGGGCCGAGGGACTACATCTCCCAGCGCCCCCCGCGGCGCGCAGGCGCACTGCGGCGCGGAGACGCTACGCGCCGCGCGCGCGGGAGCTCCCTCACACCACGCGTGGCGCGGACCCCTCCGCCGCGGCGAGGAG